TTCTATTGGGATGCTTATTTCAAAAGTGAATATCTGAAGATTAAATTTTTCCCCCAAGTAACTCAGTCTTTATATCTTGGTCTGATTTTCATGTACAGAGTAAGATGTATAGCCATGCCAATAGTATGCTAGTGAATGATGTTAGTTGCCGAATATACCTGGATCACCCCTCTAAGCAAAATTTTTAGTAAAGGAGGGAAAACCATTCACAAATGACCAGCCCTGGTTTTTATCTCTGACCATTTTGGACAGCCTTGCAACCTGTGCATTGTCAATTCCAAGGAGGCACGATTCTCACTCATACTTTGAGGTATATGACTCTCAGAGTTGTGCAGAGGTAGTCCTTATCTCTGCTGCCTCCTTTTCCCATCGCATGTTCCTTCACAAAAGGATGGGCAGAAGAAAAAGGTAAAGAACTTTCTGCTAGGGAGGGACATATGAAGTAAAGCAGCTTAGTGTGGATCTTTTTTATAGGTAGGCATGAAAAATTCTCCCCCAAAAAAGTTACAAACAACAGTTTATTTTCATAAATTGATAAGGGAACAGAAATGGGTGATGGAAAATAAAGAAGAAATATTACTTTGCCTTAGTAATCTTTATTTTTTATTTAAAGTATAGAAGGTTGTTAAAATTTATTAGTTTGATAGATGGTATAAGTAAGCTCATGCAATTTCGGGAGTAGTGTTGTTAAAATTTTCAGTGACTGTGGCTCAGGAAAGGAGAAGCAGCAATAAAACAGCTGTCTTATACCACATCTAATAAAAGAATGATATGTAATGGAAAATGTTACTTAATACTTTCCAAAAAAGTATCACAAACAATGAAAATTGTGGTATATTAAATCTTTTAAAATATAGTGTAATAGGTAATCCTTTAATTTGTAAAATATCCTGTCAGTAAACATTTGCAGTGGTTTCCAGCCCAGGTATTCTTTAATTGTCATTTGTGATAAAGAGTTTAACCTATACAAGTGCATTATTAAGTTGAACATGGGTGTCTGGAGGTTGCAATATAATAACTACTACCTTGATTGCTCATTTCCTTGATTCATTACAAAGGAAATGTAGATTTCACTAAGGAAAAGAGGAGACCAGAGAATTTTATAATTAAAATTAAGTCATTACAATTCATGTTAAAACACTCTTAATACAGCTTTTACAGAAATCTCATTAAAATTAAATTTCATGACAGTCAACATGACTGCATCTCTTTAATTTTAAAATAGTGAAATTTCTTTTGGCCGTAACTAGTCTTTTTATATTCATGTGTATATAGTTTATATATACACATACATACATAATCATACATATATATATATATATATATACACGTATATATGTATGGTCATACATATATATAAATTTGAACTTCAAATGAGACTTGAGTTAGTTAATCCTCAGTTCTTGTCACATTGTCATCAACACAAAATGTACGTGATAATTGTGGTCAGAGGACCCTTCTGTGTTCTATAATATATGCTGTCTATACCCACTTTTCCCATTACTTTGTTTTTCTTCCCAGTAAACAATTTCAAATTATATTTACCAGATAGCTTTGTTTTAATTACATGCAGCTGTTTTTCAATAACTAAAGGAAAATGCTGTTATCAGTTTCTGGTGTGCATGAATCTTACCTTCGTGTATTTGTTTTTTGGCCTTCCTAGTATTCTATCTATTGCCCCAGTTTCAATTAGTGGTATATCCTGAGGCTGTGATTCAGTCCTGACAACATGCCTATTGTGTTAACTGTTTCCTGCTTCACATTTTTTAAATAAGCCTGACTTATTTACAGAGTGTAATACTACTTCCACTTTCATGATTGTTGCTTTCTGAATTTTCTCTTTCCCTACATTACAGTCAAATACATTATTAGCATAAGGAGAAAAATCGCTGGCACCTAGCCTAAGCCATCTGGTGACCAACATTTGTTACTTAAATTCTAAATACATTCGTACGTCCATTTATCCTATGCTCATGGCAAAGAGGGAAAGAAAGATGAAATGCCAGCAGTTTTCATAGAAGAAAATGAAGACAATAGAAGCACTTGATTATTGTCACAAGAAAGGAGAAATAAAGAAATTTAGCATCACTTCCCCTACATTGTTGACATTTCTGAAAGATTGAGCCAAAATTGAAATGGAAGTTAAAGGGACTCTGGGACTAAAGCAGAAGTAAATGTAAAATCTGTATTATAGTTGTTTTTGCATGGTATTAAGAAGTTCGTGCTAGAAATGGGCATGTAAGTGGAAAGCATTGCATTTTTTGCCAACCTTGGGCCTGATGAGTTTAAAGTAAGTGTGTTCTGGCTGAACAAATTTCAGACATGTTATGGAATTTTTAGTTGGTATATAGTGCAAAAAAACCCCAAAATTAGTAACTTTCATGCAGAAGAAGTTAAAAAACAATGGCTAGTTACAGCTTGAGTGATGTTTTAATTCTGATGAAGTAAGTGTTTTGCGAGCTATTGCCTCATATACTTCATGCCCCAGGTGTATTTCGCAAAGGAGATAAACAGAGATTGATGATTGCTCTATTTTGATGTAATGCATCCTGGATGGAAAAGATGAGACCACTTGGCATTGGCAAGCCAGGGCTTCAGAAATTACCATTTACGCCCCTGTGATTACCAACCCCATACACATGCCCAAAGGAAGAGAGATGTATGTAATAAATAGCTGAGAAAGGTTGGCAAGAGAATGAAAGGAGCAAAATGCAATATCCTCTTGCTGATAGACGTTTGCTCTTCCCACAGCACTCTCCTGTGCTTGGACTATGCATGTGTTGAGTTTTTCCCATTGAACTGCAGAGCCCCTCTGCAGCCTTCCGATTAGGGTATAATCTGTACAGTAAAGCTCACTGTGGAAACAACTCTAAATGTAGATAGTTTTCTCAGTTTTCCCTAAGAAACTAAAGTGAAGCAAGCCATTGGTGTGATTGCTGAGCCATAGCGGTCTGTAGAGCCATCCGTAGTAGAGAAACGTTGGCAGAAAACAGGCATGATTCCTGTGGAATACCTTGAGGTCCACCTGGAGGAAGGCCACAGACCAAACGTGGTGTTTGAACTAGTCTGCTACCTAATTGCTACTGTCATTGGTCTCCAAACCAGTTTGCTTTGGATGACTTTGTGGTTACAGAGAACAATTTAACCATTTCTTAAGATTAGGAAATCCTAAAATTGCTGCAGGAGTGCTAATTTACGTCAGAATGGAACCAGAAAGTGATGATGACAATGACGACAACAATGATAGCCGTAACATCCAAGGGGAACAAATTCTGGAACAGCCAACAGTGAACAATTCAGAAGTCCTTGCAAGGGTAGAAGGTGTTGAGAATCCTTTCCCTTCAAGCAGATGTTCCTGACGAGGTGTCTACCCAATTAAGTGGTACACATGAATATTTAATGGCCACTGCAACAAGGATTGTTTTTTTTTTTTGGTTTTTTTTTAGGTTTTTTTTTAATTGGGGAATTAAGGGAGGGGAACAGCGTTGGGGAATCAGTGAAGGGGAACAGACAAGTTGCTGTTCTTTTGTTCTTCAGTCTAGTTGTGGAGGATGTCGCCTCACTGGCCCATGTTGGTATTGTGATCATTGTGCTCTTCCTGGCTGAGGCAGATTGGTCACCGGCCTTTGGATGGCCGCTCACGGTGGCTCACAGTAGCCCACTGCAGCCCCACTGCAGCCTACGCCGTCGCCGGCGACTTACGGCAGCCCAGCCCAGGTTGAGCTGTTGTTCACCATCTTAGCTGTAGAGGGCAGTGTCACTGGCCCATGTGGGATCCTAATGTCAGCCCTGCTGCTCAGAGCTGGTGCTCCCAAGCCAACGCTTAACCAACAAGCCACTCAGCCGGCCCCAACAAGGACTGTTTTGAAAAAAAAAAAAAAAACCTGAACTGCTGATTTTCTTCATAACTAATAAAGTTGCAAACATATTGCTTTTAAAAAGTATAAAATGAAAGACAATACTTGTATAAGCAAAGACGCAATAAGTGTTTAGATGTGAATGTTTGACTCATATAACATTTACTGCATGGTAGGGTTGCAGAATTACTCCCCCCACCACCCCTCATCCCCTTGAAAAAAAAATTTTTTTTATTGTGACTAATTTCAGCCTTTGGAAGGATTCTTTCCCTACTACCTCCCTTCCAGCTGTCTTCCCAGCATTAGGTAGCAGGAATGATAACAATAAGCTTTTGACTGATAGTACTTAGAATAAAAAAAAATTCACAAAATGTAATTACTACAGCTGGGAGAACCAGAAGCCAAAAGACACACTTAGATTTAATAGGATAGATTTAGAGTAATTAAGACAAAAAAGGATGTTTAGATTAAGGAGATGGCAGAGCAGTTCCAGAGAGTCACCCATAGGCAAAGGGGGCGTGAGGACCAACAGCTGTTTACCCTTGCTGCTTGGTACCAGTGTTTGGGCTAGTGGAGGCATGGGAGAAGCATGGAGGGAAAGTGGGACAGGGTGAAGCTGTAGGAGAAACAGCAAAAGAATGCTAGTACTTCTCTCAGATTGGTGTCCTGAAAGGGCTGTCGGAAGGTGAGAAAGAGTGAAAATGGAAGGAAATAGAGAAGGGCGTGGATAACACACTGGCCTCTCCTAGTGTAGTAACCCCTGCATATAAGATACAATGTGACTCTGACAACAAACAATTCTCCAGGCATCAATAAAAGTAGGAAAACAACTTTTGCCCACCATACTGGTTTGTTCTAAGAAATGAAAAACAAAATAACTTTTGCCAAACAAAAAGCAGCATTTACAAAGTATGTGCTACACAAAATAATAAAATAATTGACAATCACATTTGGTATATACCTGGACTGGGATTCAGAAAAGAATTGAGTATAGAATGGCTTTTTAAAAAAGAGCATTATCAAGGGCTGGCTGAGGGGCTCAGCTGGTTAAGAGCTCACTCAAGAGTGCGAGCTCTGAGCAACAGGATCGCCAGTTCGATTTCCAGCCTGAGCTGAGCTGCTGCTGAGCTGCCAACAGGTGGCAGGATGGCTCAGCTAAAAAAAAACACCAAGAAACAAAAAAGCAGTATCCAAAAAAAACCAAAAATAATCACAAAGGATAAAAATGTCTCTTATTTTATTTTAGGTAATAAATCATCATTAGTCAAGATGTCTTCAGCCCCGGAGCCTCCAGTCTTTAAAAAGGAACCACCCAAAGAGAAAGACTTTGAAAACCCAGGGCTCAGAGGGGTCCGCACAACAACCTTATTTCGAGCTGTGAATCCAGAGCTCTTCATTAAACCTGTAAGAAATACACCCAGGATAAGAATTTATGTTTAACTAAGCTATCAGAAATAGAAGGTTCTTATTTTCCTGTGACATTTGATTTTATCATGGAAATTTTATGTTGACTATTAAAGATCTCTGTGAATAAATGCAGGTAGAAGGGAAATCTTAAATGCTGTTTCACTAAATACACATATAAAATGAATTATTTTTGAGAGCATTTGAGAATTTTAATGGGAAGTGGTTGCACTTTCATGGATCAACTTCTCAAATTCCTATTTAAATTTTTATTTTAATAGTTGTATTGATTTGAAGAAAATTTTTATTGTTTGATCAGGTACTATTAAGTAAGTAGACCTTCCATTGAAACAAAACAAAATGAAAATATCATTATTTTAAATTACAATTCCAGCCTTTATTAATTCCAGCAGGTGTGATGACAGAAGCAGAGAATGCAAATTGAAACTTGTATTGCAACTCTGCACTCACACTGACAACGAAAGGCCCATTTGATGAGTGTGAACACACAAAAAGGAGGGTCTCAGTTACAGTAATAAACATTTCTTTGGAGTTGTAAGTATCTTTCCTATATTTAAAAACATTTAAAATTCTGAGATGTCCAGGCCATAGAAAGAAGAAAGACTGGAGAGGAAAAGTAAGAGTCTTCTATACCCTCTAAATTATTGGGAGTTGAGTTAATTGAGTATAGAACTGGGTAGATTATTATAATTGAAAATATCACCATAGGAACGCTAGTGTAGTAATAAAGACGATTTGTTAAGAGAAAAGTGCAAAAGGTATTTGGGCCTCCTCAAATTATTAGTCTTAACGAAGCTTTGTAATTTTTTTTCTTTGACAGAATAAACCCGTCATGGCTTTCGGATTGATAACCCTTTCACTTTGCGTGGCTTATATTGGTTATCTACATGCAACACAAGAGAACAAAAAGGACCTCTATGAAGCTATCGATAGTGAGGGACACAGTTATATGAGGAGGAAAACATCTAAATGGGATTAATAGCACTTATTACTATGGATGGAGCTATATTAAGAGCTCTGGAATTGCCAAATAATAGACTTTATAAATGCATACTATGTTTCTTGTTTTAGAATATGGTAATGAGGAAAGAAGATAGCAGTTGCAACCATACCTGTATAGTAAATTTTGTCCTTTAGAGCTGCAGCCATTATCTCATTCTGTTCCCATAAAAAGCTTCTCAATATATTTCTTTTATTAAATCCTCTTATAAAAGTACCATGAAAATGGAAGTCATTTTTGTTAATTATTAAGTTTTATATAATAAAAGTACCCGATGTTAAATTTGCATAGTATTTTTAATATTTTAAGGTGAATTGTGCATTTGCAACTGTTGTGAATGTTAGTTTTGTTTGCTATTTGTAAAAGCAGTGTTTATTTTCTACCTGATAGAGACCTATACTTGTGAAGAAAAAGAAATAATTGTAACTTATTGTGAAGCCTCCAGTCAGCGTTAAAGACAAATAGTGTTAAGAGTGACAGATGGTTCATATATTTTGGTTTTACGTTTCATCTATTTTTGGTCCAGAATTTTATTTTAATTGAAAAGATACTTCCACTCAACTACTAAAACAAAGATTAAATGAGAGAATAACCCAAAGTAACGAATTTTTCTTAAAAAAAAATGTTATGCTGAGATATATGATGTTTTTATTTGACCAACTGTTAACTATTTTAGTTTTTGTAAATAAATATTACAATGATATGATAAACATAACACCAAATGTTATTATAGTTATTTATAAATTAGAACTACTCAATAGATAAGAAGGTCTCCTTACTGTTCTGGGTATACCTTATATCATTTAACGCTTTCTGACAAAGGTTCTGGACTTATTTCATTTCTGGACATTTAGCCCATTCAAATCATTGTAATTGGAGCTTATTAAACCTTATCTCTCAAATTTTGCTCCACTTATTATTACCAAGTAATAATAACTGCACAGGCAGAGTTTATCATCATAGCATAAGTTTTTAATTTCCAGTACTTTGTTATGGTTTTGCAAGATACATGCAAATGCAATTATGTCTGATTTGTAGATATTAAAGAGCTTAGCTAATTGAGTTACCTACATGCAACTAAATTAAATCTTTACTACTGAGCCCTAAATATTTTTTTGCTATGCCTCTCTACATAGTATACTTCATTTAGTTTAAAATGTACTTAGGTGGTATAAAGTGCCTCTTAATTTAAAGTATTATCTTTTACTTTTGGTTTCCCTGTGGACTTTGATTGTTAAAGAACTAGAATTCTTCTATTTTCAGCTTACACATTTAGTGTCATTTTGTCATCATTTAGAATTCTAATATTCAACAAAATAAGCTGATACTTGATGGGGGAGATATTAGTTAGGTGAGCTGTCAAGAGATTATCGCCCATAGGAGGGCAGCAGGAACTGTACACAGCACAGCCTTACGCCTTGTGACAGCTCCCTGAATGAACCAGGGAACCAGTAGGTTCAGTGAGGTGCAGGCTGTGAAAAACAGGGCGAGGGAAGAACCACATTGAATTTTAGGAAAAAGTAGCTAATTATGATACTTCTAACAGGATGGTTACAAGTTATAGATAGCACAGTCCTTGAGTGTACAGTATCAAAGACTGCCTGGCTGTGCGTGGATATTTTGATTTCATTCTATAGGGGAAAATGCCACTTTACAAAGTCGGTTGTGTCTAAGAATGGCATGGTCAGGGCAAGACATTGAAGTGAAGGTTCACGTAGTTAAAGAAAGGTCTTTTAATGCAGGAATCTGGCTGATGTTGGGCAAAACTCAAACATAGATTAAGTCTTGAAGCAAGTCTTGATGAACTAGGCTGTTGGTAAGCAGCAAGTGACCTTTTTGCCCAGGGAATTAATCTGTTCTGGTAGAAGAGCTATTTGCCCAGAGGGGCAAGCTGTTCAATTGATAAATTGGTTTTTAAGAATTTCCAGAAGGAAGCCGTGAAATTATTTATTGGTTTATAGTTTTATCTTTCATAGGGTGACCAATCTGTCCCAGTTTGTCGGCACCAAGGGGGGCTTTAGGGATGCAGGACTTTCCATCTTAAATCAAGGACAACAAATTAACTATGTGATTTTAAAAACCAGGCTTAGTAATTTTGAGTGCTAACGTAATGAAAGTAATTTTTCCTTTAAAATACTGTAATATTTCCCAATTTTATTGCCAAACCACATTTATAGATAACCTGGAAAAAAAATCTTCCTCCTTTGCTGGTCTAAAAGAAATCAATTCTTTAAATAAACAATTTAAACGAAAGTGTGGTGGGCTGAATAATGTTCCCAATTCCCCACCCCATCTCCAAAGATGTTCTGATCCTAATCCGTGGAGCCTGTGAATGTTATTTACATGGTATAAAGAACTTCGCAGATGTGATTAAGCTAAGGATTTTGAGATGGGGGAATTATCTTTTATTATCTGGGTGGGCCTGATATAACCACAATGGTCCTTATAAGAGAGGCAGGCGATCAGAGGAAGGAAGAAGTGATGTCACCATGCAAGTAAGTGATGCAAGGTCGTGAGCAAGAGATATGGGTGGCCTAATAGAAACTGGAAAAGGCATGGAAACATTTTCCCCTAAAGCCTCCAGAAGGAACCAGCCCTGCTGACACCTTAATTTTAGTCCCATAAGGCTCATTTTGCTGACCTGAACTGCAAGAGAATAAATTTGTGTTGTTTTTAGCCACTAAATATGTGGTAATTTGTTGCAGCAGCAGTAGGAAACTAATACAGAAAGTATCTGGGAAATGAATGGCTGGGCCATACTTCCTTTTATGTCTAGTTGCTTTTATGAGCAAAGCTTGTCTTACGTAGCGACAGTTGCTAAGTAAGTTAACAATGTAATACTAGAGCCTAAGAGGGAGCAACTGCTTAAATCTTCCCAAATCCAGTGCTCATGCCTTACATGGCAGAGGCTTTCAGTAACATTCTTTCACTTTAGGCACACAATCATGCTGCAGCATTTAATCCTTACCAGCCTCTAGCATTGGCCTACAACCTGGAACCTCTCTTCCAGCTTTCTTAAACTCCTAGCTTTTTAAAAAACTGTTAATGACCCTAACAGTAATTTAACTGTACGTAGTAAAAGACATCTTAAATTTAATTATGATCAAGAATCCGAATTATACAGACTTTGTTTGCTGTGCTGTTTGCAATAAAATAATTCCACCACCCCCTTTAGGGGAAACCTTCAAACAGATCCATGAATACAAGCCATTTACAACACGCTTTTACACTCACAAGGATATACTGGGTAAGTGACTTTGCTGTTTTCCGTTTTTCTAATGTTTCATAGCATTGTGTATCATTCTTCCTGTTAAAGACTTGTATCAGGTTTCCTGATCAAAAAGTTGCTTGTCCTACAGGGGTGTGTTTGTCATGAGAAGAACGTGGGTTGCAATCCAGCTTCTCCACTTAACCAGTAGTAGGCCTTGACTGGATACTTAGCCTCTCAGCGTGTTACCGTCTATGTAAATAGGGATGTTAGTACCTATTTTGTAGATTTGTTATGAGGCTTTAAAGAAATGCTTGTACTTATTATAAAACCTGACACATAATAGTAAATGGGGGTTCTTTTTGTCTTTGCCCACACTTGGGCACCCTCCATACACATAGACAGAATAGCTCTAATTAACACCTTAATTAATAGGGGAAAGAAACTATAACCCTTATTAGTAGCTGGTGACATAAAAGTAGATACATATAGATAACATGAGATTATTTTCTATCTTATAATAAGCAAATGAAATTGTAATTACAGGTTTTCATCTGTCCTTATCCTCATCAGTTTTCAGTCTGACTTTGAGCCTTAGAGGTGTTTTCCTAAGGACTCTCAAACTACTTCTATGATCCTCTCTCCTTTAACATGGTAAACTTGTGGTGATTTAATTTCACTCCTGAGCTTTGAAAATATAAAAGCTACAGAATGGATGGCATTTTGAAAAAACTAAAATTTAGGGGGGGATCAAATTGGAATCACCCTCTAAAAATATCAATATCAAAACTGATTTTAACCTTTAGAAAATGTTTAGCATGATTTATTAATAATAGTCTCAAAACTGATTTGACTTTTTACACCCAGGACAGTGGATATCTATCCTTAGATAAACTTTTATTGATTGACTCCTTATACCTTCTAGTATACCTGAATCCAAACATTAAGCGGATAAATTAAATCTAATTAGTTAGAAATTAATCTTTTATATTCAGTAACCTATATTTGTCATTGATTATTTTCAGTCAAAAGAGTCAGAATTCTCTGTTCTTTAGAAGTAATTTCAAAGGCATGTTGAAATGCCTATATAAATGCTTATGAGTATTGCATAGAGCAGTAATTCTCAACCCTAGTACTACAGAACTTTAAAACATTTTTGTACCACTAATATCCAAACAGAATCATTGGATTTAATAGTAATCCAACACAGACCTAAGTAAATTATTGTAGAACCTTCAGAATCAGGCCTTTGTATGTGTTTTCATTTTTTGATATCTTTGCATATTGTAATAGCTTTTTATTTGGAAATAGTTTTGACTCAAGTTTTAAAAATAGAACAGAGAATCCCATGTGCCCCCCACATCCAGCTTCTCTTATTGGTACCTTACTTAACACTAGTACATTGTCAAAACCAGGAAACTGGTATTGAAACAATGCTATTGGCTCAGCTACAGATCTTACATGCACTTTTTTTTCTTGGTGTAGAGTTTCATGAAATTTATTATGTAACTGTCACCACAATCAGGACATAGAACTGTTCCATTGCCACAAAGAAACTCCCTTGTGTTACCTACCCCTTAACATCTCCCAATCTGAACCCCTGGCAGCCACTAATCTGTTCCTCTATAATTTCATCCCTTTGAGAATGTTATACAAATGGAATCATATACAGTAATACCTTGGTTTGCAAGCATAATTCGTTCCAGAAACGAACTACTAGTATTGCAAGACATCGCTTGTTTACCCAGTTAAAATGTATTAGAAATGTTTGCTCATCTTGCGGAACACCCGCAAACCAAGTTACTTGCAATCCAAGGTTTTACTGTACTATGTAATTCTTTGAAATTGGTTTTTTTCCACTCAGTAAATGCCCTCGAGGTCCATCCAAATTCTTTGTATTAATAGTTTGTTTCTTTTTCGTCGTGTGCATTTTTTAAAAGCTATGCAGGGATCCTGTTGTACAATCAGGGTTGAGAACAACTAATATGAAGTATGGGATTTAAGCATAAAAAAGAGTAATAGTAGCCCACAGTTGCATCACATTTTTGTGAAATTCAACACATTGACGGTCCATGCTTAGTCACATTTATTCCTAGGCCTTTCATAAAGATATCTACACAACACGGAGCCTATGCAGTTTATGTTCATCTCTACCATAGTGTTCACTGCCCTTTGTTTTTACACTCACTAATAATCTGTAGCAAAGACTCTTAAATCAATGCCACCAAACATGTATTTTCAGTTGCAGGTGCCAGAAACACAACTCAGACTAGAGAAACCCAAGGGGGATGTGGCACTGGGGCTCTCAGTCCGTCCACGCTTGCCCTCTTAGTGAGTTGGCCTTATTGTTTACTACTGCAGCCAGGTTTACTCCAGCAGCTGGGAAAGGAGTGGAAGTGCTCCCAAACATCTCAAAACCTCTATTACCTCCAGCTTAGAGACCTCAGAGGAAAAAAGCTGTGTTCTCCTTACCTCCTTATATAAAATCTTAAAGAAGACCCTGGTTGGCCAGGCTTGAGCATGTGCCTAATCCTGGGCCAATTATCGTGGCCTGCAGGTTGGGGATAATGTGTGATGGCCAAGCAGATAGGCTGCTGCGATTGGCAGTCCTACCAGAACAACCTGAAAGAGGACAGTTCTCGAGATAAATGGGCCCTGTTCCCAGAGGGAGAGAAGAGATGTTGGTCAAACAAACTTGTCCACAGTGCCTTACCTCTGCTTACTGCCAAGCTAGGCACCATGAGCAATACACTGCAGTATAAGACGTGCTTTGTGATTTTAGGAAGTTGATCGTCAAGACCTAACTAATCATATGAAGGGTTAATAATTCAACAAATCTTAGATGTGAGAAATGAATGGAATAGAGAATAAGTACTATAAGAGTTTGGATTGGAGAGAAAGGTCACTGTGTGTGATTTCAGCCCTCAAAGGGCTCGTCATCCCCACACAGGTGATGCGACACCTCTGACAACACACTCTGGTAGGAGAAGATGGAGAAAACCCTGTGCCCAGCTCAGCGAGCTCAGGGCTTGGCTCCAGGTCTAACCCCATCCCTAGCTATCTGGTGTTATGTGGTCCCTTAACCTCTTTAGACTCTTATTTTCTTTTTTGAGTAGGGAGGGTATTATGGGAATATTACTATTTGGAAATTAAATTAGATCATGACGGAGAAGTGTTAAACTACCACCCCTTAACACACTCCACAACTAAAGCAGCTAAACCGTGAAGACCTACACACTAAAGAAAGGCATGTAACATTAGAGAAGGCATTCTGCTACCACTTTGTGGGTGGAAATACCACCAGCACCCAGATAGGAGCTGTGAGAGCAGAGCTGGGTAATGTGCTAGTATCTTGAGTATTCCCTCACCATTCTACTTTGGAAGTACAAAATGTGCTCCTTTCTGCCACTTTCCTCCTCCAGTGGCCCACCATGTGGACTGGCTGAAATGAAGGGAACTGACTCCATCCAGGCTGAACAGTGCTGTGTGTTCCCTCCTAATCAGTTAGGAAAAAACTTAGCCCTTTCATTGGTATCTTTAGAAGATTGACGTTTCCTACAAGGGTATATATATATATCTCTTAGGTAATACTAAAAGTAACTAACTCATAGTGAAAAGGGAAGCAAGAAACAGTCTGTGAATACTTGTTATTGTTACTCTTCAAATATACAGATATTGGGACAGATCTTTTGAATAAAGAAGAGCAATTTCAAGAGGCTGTACTCAAGGAACGTATTGCAAAAGCAGAAGCTAATGTGTGGGCTCAGGTAAAAGAATTTGGAAATCAGCCTAAATGCATCTTTACAGTTCTTTCACTTTTTGGATGTATTCGAAACGATATGGTCAGGCAGAACTGACTTTGAATCCTGGCTACCTGTGGGACCTTGGGCAAGCTCTTCAGCTCTGTAGTCTAGGCTTCTTCTAATGTAAAAGAGGAACAGTAATACCCACTCTATAGGATGATCGAGAGAGTTCAGTGAAACAGTGTGCCTGGCACACAGTAGGTACTTAGTAAGAGGCAGACATCATCAGGAGCTTCCTTCCTTCTAAATTGCCCCTGTGTGTGGATGACTCCTGTTCTCTTTATTCTCATTTGATTAAAACTTAAAAAGAAAGACATCCTTGTTGGTAATTCTTTATTATTGCTTAATAGCTAATATGTAAACCATCCATTTGTGCAGTGTATAACACTCCTAGTGCCTGTTTTCTCCAAATGTTTCATTATGGCTACTCTCCTTTTTACCCATGTCCATGCTCCCCTTCTCTCTAAAGTCCTTGATACCTTGTCCTAATGACTGAGTGTCAGAGGGGCCATTAGAGTGTGTTGGGCTCACAGTCAGATCCCAGACACTTAATTGAAGCAAAATCTCAATCCTCGAGTCCCCACTTCTTCCAGTCATAGGTAGAATGACATAGATGACTTCCTAAAGAGAATTAATTCTCCTTGAGATCAAGATGAGCCACAGTGCTTAGAATGTTATTTCTCGGTTTCCTTATAAAATAGACATCATAACAAAGAATGTTGGAATTGCCCAGTTTTGGTGCCTGCAAAAGCTTGGTATGAAAGTACTTTGAGAGTCCAAAATGCTCCAGTGCCAAGGGTAATATATATATATATATATATATAGTAGCCATCTATCTTTATCAATAATAAAATTCAAATCGATTTTGAGTCATTAATTATAACATTTTAATACAAGGGAATGCATTTGTGAGTAATCTACAATTTGAATATACATAATCTAATGTTCTGGGCATTCTCGTCAAAATAATAACCTATTTCTGAAGACGTGATGCGGGGGATCTGGGATGATCCTCAGCCTCCCTTCTCAGTGATTTCTAGTTTTGTGCATCTTTCCACTTCTCTGTATTTTCCACACTTTCTGCTATGGGCGCACATTACTTTGATAGTCAATCAAGCAAGAAATAAAGTGACAAAGAAAGAGACAGCCCAGCAGCCTGCAGTAAAGCTCTCTCGAGCAACTCCAGAGCCAGCAGTGTCAGGCCCACGGATTGGGGTGTGTTAGGGCGTCTGGTAGAGACCTCGGGTTTGCTCCAGGAGGTTTGAGATGGGGATGGAGCAAGCAGTTAGGTGCCCCGTGGTGTTTCCTTATTTTCAGTAAACATGGAAACCTGATACATTAATAAATAAATGGACTCTTTCTTTCAAAGGCCAATGAACGCCAAAAACAAGCTGTGGAGAAAGCACTTGAAGAAGCAAATGACATGCACAAAATTAAAATTCGGATTCTGGAAGAGGAACATGAAAAACATTTACAGGTTTTTATAGGGGCTTGTTTGTTGTTTTTTTAAAAAGTTCTTAAGTTAGGAGAAAGCTCCAGGAAATAAGAGAAAAAAAACGGTAACGTGTGAAATCGAGATGGGTGTGTGTGGAGGTTGGTTGGGAGGCCCAGAATTGTCAGAAGAGTTGCTGAACACTGGCAGCTGCGATGAATGGCTGCAGGAGAATCCCACGGCCTCTGATGTAATGAGCCCAAGGCTTTATGAGGTTTCAAGGCCTGAAGGAGCCTCACCCCTGCGTGCCCGACCCACCCCACCTCCTGCCACTTGCTCCCTTTCCTCCTCGCACTGCCCTTTGGCCTCTCGAAACTGAATGCACTGTGTACCTTCCCACCTTAGTGTCTGCCAGAATGGTCTTCCTGCCCTTCATCAGGCTTAGCTCAAACATCATTACTGTAGGGAAGCCTTACCTGACCAGCTCTGCCCTGCCACCCATACGCTGTCCTTGACACCCCATCCTCTTTCACAGCAGTCACCACCCATCACTGTTGCAATTAAATAGGCTGTGTGATCACTTGTTAGGTACCTGATCCCCACATGACTGCAGCCTCTGTAAGGGCGCGTCTGTCTCATTACCACTCTAGCCCCAGTGCCCAGAACAGTGCCCTGACTTAGTAAGTGCCCCAATAGGGGTTAAACGAGGGAAGTAGACTGTTCTCTTTCTTCGCCTGGGCTCTCTGACTGCATCCTTTCCCCTAAATTTGCATTTACTGCAGTGCCAAGAGGGTCCCCTGAGCTGTTTCTCAAGTATTTCCTGTAAGACCAAAGGTCATACAATGAGGGGGGGCCTCTTTCTAACCTGTCACTTGTTTAAGCACAGGACTCTAGGTAATTAGCAGATGTTCCAGGCAGAGGCCCAGGGACTCATTATTTAGTTCCGTGCCTCAGCTGCAAAATCCACTCAAAGGAAAACGATACACAACTATTTTTCCATGTTGGCAACTGGAGGGACAGGATAGGATGCAGTGTAGATGTGATGAATCATGGGAAAAGGCTGGAGGGAAGTGGCAGAAGGCTGGCCCCAGGTTTAATAAGAACATAACTAATAAACAATGTGGGACAATGGGCCCGTTTATTCATTGTTTTGGCAGTGAGCACCCACCATATGTCAGCTCTGTACTGTTGGGTTGTCGGAAAAGGCATGACATATTTTTGCAACGAAAAACACAGAAAAAATATGTCATGACTTTTCCGAAAACCCAATAGATAAGATTAAATGGACTGTGCTTGTCCTCAGAAAACTTGCTGACAGGAGAGGGAGTTTCGCTCCACAGCTCCTAAAGGATACTGGGACCCTCCCTGCTTGGCTCCAGTGACGAGGGTCCCTGAAAGGTTGGCTGCAGTGGTCCACTGGCCATCCCCCATTACAGTTCAAAACGTAAAGAGCATTTAAAGCATGTCTAGGCAGGCCTGCTGTTCAGCTGGCATGTACCAGTATGGCCATACGAGTTCTAAAAGTATTGAAATACTTCTCTATCAGTTGATAACCACTCTCAAGTTCCCTAATACCTTGGTCACCCTGGTTGTTCACCATTAGGCCCCTGGACCTCCCCCAATCCAGCAATTTAAAGGGGCAACACTTTAAATTGGTAGGGAGCTCTAGGACCCTGCCCCAATGTTGCAGCCAGATACACGTTTTGAATGTCACTCCTGGCATTAGGTTGTGAAGATACCAAGGTAACTTAGATGTGATGCCTGTTTTGAGGAGCTCATCTAGTCTTTCTTTAATTTGCTTGTACCCCATAGAGCCTTTGGGCAGAGCTGATGCACTGAACATTAAAATAGAAGTCCTAATAAAATTTAAAAGGAAAAGTTAGAGAGAGGTTGACCTTTTTAAAATATTTGTCTAAGATTTGGGAATTTGCATTTACACTGCTGTCTCAGGGACATTTTTAATATAATGAAGGAGTGATTTGTCTAAAGAGGGATGCATGAGGTTATTTCAACCTTCACAGACATTAGTGCTGCCTCTCAGGGGTGTCCATGACCCACCTGCCTTAGAATGTACTCGCCTGGGAGCCTAACGCATATTCCCTTCCAAAATTATGTTGTTTTTATGCTATATTGTTTCCATGTTTCTTGTTTCATTTAGCATCATATAAGTGGAAGTTTTCTATATGCCCACAATTTTTTAAACAATCAGTGTTCCTAAGTACACATTCAGTGTTCACAAGTACACATTTCATTAAGTTGGTGAACTATGATTTGAATAACCTCTTAGTGTGCCTTTTTAAACAAAGCTGTATCATCTAAACCTAGTTTTACTGTTGCTTAAGGAAATGACAGCTAAAACCAAGCTAGAGGTTCATCAAAACATGGAAGACGAACTGAAGAGAGAATACTTGGCAGCGGAACAACGCATGGCCCATAGAATCCAAAGGATCGCGATAGAGTGCCACAAGGAGAAGATCCAGGCTGTGGAAAAAGCCAGGGCTGAAGAGAGACGCATAGCCCAGGAATTAATCCAGGCCCAGAGAAGGTATTCCAGAGAACTCATGTTCCAATCAATGTCTTACTCTGTCAAAGTCAACTTGGAGAAAGGGATAAGGTCAAGGCACATAGACGGATATTTCCCACTTTTTGTGCGTTTACATTTCTATTATGGAATATATCAAACATAGAGAACGAGATATAATATATTGTAGTGTGTGTGTGGCTTAAACAAAAATACTAACATGAAGACTCAAGAACCTACCACCCATCTAAAGAGATTGAAAAGTGGTAACACTTCTGAAGCCGCCATGTATTCTTCCGCAATCACGTTTCCTTCCTCTCCTCCCTCTCAAGAGATAACTACGGTCCTGTATATTGTTTTTCATTCTGTATCTCCAGTTTTAAGAGGCTAAGAAGAGGAATCAAGAAATATTTTTCCATAACACATAAAAGTCAATCTTCACATTCTTTAGCCTATATCATGTACTATGGTGGATGTGTTACTTTTTGGTTTTTTTCTTATTACACAAGTAAGACATGCTGTAAATGGAATTCACATTATGAAAATATATAGAACACCTGACCCACTGCTTCCCTACCCCTTCTCTGTCTCTCAGAGACAGTCATTTTAAATAACGGGGTCTCTATCCTTCCATGCCATTTTGATATATTTGTAGTAGTATATACGTGCACAATCACAAATAATTTTCACATGAGTCAGATTATATAGATATATAATCTGGTATTCATTACGAATACATTGAAAAAAGTACCATTTTTATGTAAGTAATGAACATTTGATGGAATTGGCTAATTTTAACAAGACAGCAGCAGGAGCCCTAGTGATTATCAGGACCAAGAGAAAACCACAGTTTCCGCATGTTAAGTGACCTGCCCCAAATCATGTAACTGTAGCAGCAGAACAAAGACTAAAACCCCTGAATGTGGTCTCTTAGTCTAGGACTTATCTCTTTTGCTTTGCTCCTTGAATGAGCAAACAAATCTATTTGTATATAATTAATGGGTAAACTCTTTCTCATTAGAACTGTTTAGGTTAGGGCCAAAGATAAAATCCTGTCTGATTCTTATTTTGCCGATAAATAAGAATGAGGGCTGTAGCCGTGGTGATTTCAGTGGTACCTCCCTTCTTGCATAGGTGATAGGTCATACTGAGATAGGAGAGGAAGGTAAAAGGGGATTTCGGGTGTAAGTTAGAGAAGGTGGTGACTCCGAAATGAGTGTGACCCAATGCAGTGGAAGGTTGCCACCTCTTCTCCCCGCCGCTCCCCACCCTCCTTCTGCAGGAGCTCTGCCTGTCCTGTAGGAGCCTCTGGGTCCCACTCCTCACACACATGCAGCTTCTGCTCCTTCCCTCACTCCATCGCTTTTGCTCCTCTTCCAGCCCTTTCTCTGTGAGGTTTGAATAGACAATTTTCAATGGCCACCTTTTATTGAATCAGTTGACTAAGATTAGGGAACTTCCATGCCTCTTGTTTAAGTATATCCAACCAGAATGTCCATTTTCTTCACTGATGTGTTCCAAATGCCTGGAAGAGAACCTGGCTGATGGTAGGCATCTTTAAATATTTATTAAGCAAAGGTTCAAGTTTGTTCCACTCAGCTGAGCCCACTCTGCAGCACACCAGATCTTACTTCTAAATATTGCTAGATCCCAGTGTTCTTTAGTGCATTTACAGAAACTAATATATAGAGGAGGACCACTGTTTAGAATTCCAGTGTAGACCTTTTATTTGGCTATAAATTTTCACTCAAGACTTAAGGATTCAGAACTCTTAGATAGTATGACAAATTTGTTAAATGCGCAGAAAACTTTTTTGTGGATTGAGGCGATTAGATTCTAAACAGATTATCTAGGAGACACTGTACTCTTTCAGACATTAAAAAAAGAAAAGAAAAGAAAAACATCTTTGCTTGGAAAAGTTCTAAGTGTTTTCTGGCCCAAGGCAAAGGCATGATTGAAGTATCTGCAGCAGGAATCTTTATGGTCCTGGCTGACATTCCTAATGACAGCTACCTTTATTCAACAACTAGCACATGCAAGTCCTTTTGTATGTGTCTCACTGAATCCTCATATTCCTTCCTGGGGCATTCTATCATCCTCCATATCCTCAGGTGAAGACCCTAAGCCTTAGAGAGAGACCAAGCAACCTGCCAAAGATCATATGGAGAGTAGATGACAGGACCCAGTGTGAATCCTGGTCTGTACAAGGCCAAAGCTTGTGACCTTCCATTACGCTACCCTGCTCACTTCTCCAGAGCTTGTAAAGTGCCTTCTGTGGATGTGGTCCTGAGCTCTGACACAAAGAAATAGGGGTGTTCCTTAAACATTATGTGAGGTAACTTAAGCATGGCTGCCCCGTATGATCAGGACTAGATGGACTGGTACAAAGAACACATAGGTGCTGGAAGAGTTCAAAGTCCTGGAAAGATTAAGCGAAGAGAGAATGTGGGCTATGTAGTGAGGTAGGTTTCTTAGAGGGAGTTAGTCTTGGGTCAGGCCTTAGAGAGAAGGGAGGAGGTCCCATTTGTGAAAGGCTGAAAAGAGTGAGAACAAAATGAGCAAACACACAGAGGGGGCAGGCAGGTGGTACAATGAGGCAGAGCCAAGGGAGGGTTGCAAATATTAATAACCCTGAGATACAAATGTGCTGCCAATGGCTAGCCTCTGGAGATGCCCCCCACCAACCTTTATAATGCCTGCAACCCAAGCTTGGGGCTATCACTGATTCTCCTGCCAGACCAGGGGGGCAATAGGTTGCCAGTGGCTCAGGTAGAAAATCAGAATGTATTTTCCTTATAAACACCTGGTTGTAACTGATTAAAATAGTGCTAATAGTCCTTTAGTTCAAATGAAAATGGATTATTAGCTGACTGTGGGCTCAGCAGGCAAACGGTCTGTTTTCAGCATTGCTCTAAACACTTAAAGTACAAATGAATTTTGGAAACAAATCCCTTTGTAATTTAGACACTGCCTATGGAGAAATGAAGTGTTGGCTCTTATTGTCTTAAGATCCAGGATTTTAATTGATGGACATAGAAAGGAGGTTGAAAAGTGCACTCTTAGCAACATACATGAGGAAAATGAAAAGTTCAGTTACTAGGTAGAAGGGAAGGAACAGCCATTGATACTTTTCTTTAAACCTATGTGCAATATATTTTGCACCATTTTGACAGCCTCCCAAAAATAGTGAGAATGAGAGCTAAGAGAAGCCCTAATAGGAGCAAAGGACAAACCAATTGCTAGTATGGTTTTTCCATACTTAATTGTTTTTCCTCAAGAACCTAGTGAGGTTGGATTACTACATATTAGATATTTTTGTTTGGTAATCTATTTTTATTCTCTGAGAATCCATTTTATAAAATACCAGACTGAATCCTATAGATGTATATGCATACTAAAATTATTTTGAAAATAGTTCAATTTATGTCCAGCCCTGCTCTTAAATATGGTGTGTATTTCAAAATTCCAGGATTATGGCCTCATAAAATTAGAAGTGGCAGATGGACCTCACCACTTACAGAAAGAAGCACAGATATTCATTTCGTGCATTACGGGCCATTGACTTGAACCTGCCATCCTTTCTGCTAGAAGCCTGCCAGGGGTTTGTGGGCCTCCTGAGTACTTCTGTGACAGGAATTTTAGGGCTGGTTGAGGTAGTTGGTTCAAACACTGAACACCTTTACCTGTCATGTGCTTCCTAATGTGGATTCAGAAAACGCTAGGTCTCACCCCCATGTCGATCCTTGGCTTCCTGCTCTACTTCTCCTCTATGCACAGTAATCCTTCAAATATCTGAGGAGAGAGATATTGTCCAAGCTTTAGTTTGGAGAAGGGAAGGAAAAACCAGAAAGAACCGGTGACCCAGTTGCTTCAGGCCTTCCTCATGTGATATGCTTTGTAGGCCCACTTTTGGGGGAAAGAAATGTGGGTTATTTGTATAATCAAAAAATACTTTATATGTACCACAAGAATTAACTATTTTCTAATGGTGAATATTTTGCTTATGGTAAGAATCCATGTTAAGCATGGAGTCTTTTAGGCTTTTGTAATGGACTAGTTTAGCTGTTTTAAAATTTGGTGTTATTTGGCACAAAAAAAAATGTATTGGGGGGAGAAGTACATCTATATCACCCATTTATTCATTCACACATCTACTGGTTGCCTGTTTATACCACCGGACACCATGCCAGGCAGGGCAGATACAAAGATGAATGGGCACTCCAGGCCACCTACCACCACACTCTTCATGCTCTGTGCCCACTGTCCTCCTGACTTCAATTCCACAACTTCAAAGAAATCATAAGAATAAAGGTCAGAGACATCCTGACCTTAAACCAAAAGGAATGAACCCCAAAGGGTCAAAAATTCAGATTTTAAGGCAGGCTGGAAAGGACATTCCAAAGAAATACCAGGTCCTTTTAGCAAGAGCACATTTTGGTAGTAAAGAGTTTAAATGGGCTACATCCTATAAGGTGGAAGCTGGAGTCATCTAAGATGCACACTTTATTTGAGCAGTTTTACCTGAGATCACCTCTGCTGGAGTCTTCTATTTGGCCCATAGATGAATACCTTCTCTGTATGGGCCATGAGAAAGCCAGGCCAACCTGGCAGCAAGCTCACACCCGTTTGTGACAGAGCCATGGTTCTGGAGAAGGAATGCAACCTCCTCCTTGGGGATTTGGGGCTGGCTCAAGGAAGCTTCCTTCAGGTCCTTCTATCTAAGCCCCAGGAGCCCTGGGCATCACCTTCACAATCTCATCACCATCCTGAAGATTTTATAAAACAACAGACTAAATCCTAAGGATGTGTGTAGATGCTCACTCCCAACTCTGTCCATGATATCACTTCTATTAATGGCTCCTCCATGCTCCTGTGACCCAAGCCGAGAATCGGAGGTTGGTTCTGTTCTCTTCTTTCTGCCTCTGCCATCTCCTAGCAGTCACAAGTTGATGCTTATTACTTTGTAATATTTGTTGGATTTATCCCTTTCTCTCACTCTTCCTTTTCTTTCTCTTTCATCATTAGTTCAGACCCATTGCACATCCAGGATATTACAAAATAGTATAAATTGGTCTCTCTGCTTTATTCCACTAAGATTCAATTTACCCAATATCACCAGAATAATGATTCTAAAACATTATTTTTGTTGTATTACCCTCCTGATAAAATATTTATGGTGGCCTCTTACAGGATTGAAGCAGGTAATGGTTAAGGGTAAGAAATGTCCAACTTTCTCAATTGTGTGACATTGAACAATAAATAACTAAATTCCTCTAAGCCTCAATCTCTTCACCTGTTACATGGGAATAATAAGAGATAATAAATAAAAATTGTACCAGCTTCAGTGGGCCATTGTTAAAATTGAATAAGATGTAACGCATGTAAAATGCTTACCACAGCCCCTGGGACACAGTAAGTACTCAATAAACATTACCCCTCGTTATTAATAATGGATATAGTCTCATTGGTAGAAATAGGAAGGAGAGAAATAGCATAGCAGTGAGAGAGGCTAAGGACAAACGTTTACCTCAAGATGGGGGAAGTCTATCAGGTTTGAAAGTCAAGTTGAAAGAGTCAGAGACTATGAGAGAGTTGCATCTTGGAGGATAGAATTTAGAAGAAAGGCCAGGTGGTAAGTCTGGGAAAGACTGTATTAGACTAGGAGGTGGTGTGAATCTAACATTTTAAAATTCTCAAATCTTTAGAGGTTCTGCCTAAGTTAATCAGAGACATCCATCAGAAGTGTATCCACACTAGCTAAGAACTATTGCCCTGGACTCAGACTGCCCAGGTAGCGGTGCTCATTTGGCCACTTTTATTAATTAAGTGAAATTGGGCAAGTGACTTGACCTCTTCAAGCCTGTCTCCTGATCAGTAAAGTAAACATAATAATAGACCCACTTCATAGGGTTGATTTGAAGAATCGTTGAGTGAATATATGCACGGGACACTCATCAACCTGCCTGGCACATGGTGAGAATTCAATACAGTTGGCTGCCATAAATTATATATAATTACATACATCATAACCAGAGGCCTATGAACTCATTCAGCAGTGGTTCTCAAAGTGTGGTCCCAGGATTCCTGAGAGTAACTGGGACCCTTTCAGGGGGTCCATGAAGTCAAAGCTGTTTTCTTAATACTACTAAGATGTCATTTGCCCTTTTTACTCATTATCTCAGGAGTATATGGTGGCATTTTTCAGGGTTTTATGATGTGTGCTATCACAACAGTTTGAAACAATATGAAAATTCAGCTTTTTTCTATTAAGCCAGACAGTAAAGAGTTTTGCAAAAGATGTAAAATTATGCCACTTTTCTTACCAAAAGTTTTTCTGATTTGAAAAATATATTTTTCATTAAAGCTGTTATATTAACATTGAATGGATTTATTGATACTTTATATGAATTTATAAATATTTTTAAATGTCTCACTTTTAATTTCTAATACTGTTAGTGTCACTAGATGTAACTCATATAAACAAAAGTTCTTTGACTTCCTTGATCATTTTAACAGTGAAAAGGGGTCTCGAGACCAAAAAGTTTGAGGCAGCTATCATAGAGTATTACTCAGATAAAATCAAAATTAGAGCTAAACCTAACCTGTGAATACAAAGTTTTTCCCCTGTGGCTGAAGGTAAGCAGCTAGATCAGCAGTTCTCAACCTTCCTAATGCCGCGACCCCTTAATACAGTTCCTCGTGTTGTGGTGACTGCTAACCATAAAATTATTTTTGTTGCTACTCTATAACTATAATTTTGCTACTGTTATGAATCGTAATGTAAACATCTTTTTGTTTTCCGATGGTCTTAGGCGATCCCTGTGAAAGGGTCGTTCGACCCCTAAAGGGGTCGCAACCCACAGGTTGAGAACTGCTGGGCTAGATGGATATACACTTTCTCTAGGGGTTTGGAGCTCTGACCCTATTTCTTCATCTTTGAGCACACTGAATTCATATTATTTTCCCAGCCAAGGTGGACTCAGGTTCCTAAAGTTACAGACACTAGACTAGTGGCCTTTCCCTAGCCCACAGCAGGGACGTTGATGGGTGACCCTGCTCTGAAAAATGTTTTTTGATTGTTAACAGCTAATGCAATTGAAAAGCTCATCTCTACCAGCCTGTCTCAGCCTGGTGGCTCATCTAAACCATACGCGATAAATTCTCATACATCTGTGGTGAGAGACAAAATCTTTTTGTTTCTAGTGACTAATCCATTTAACTCACAAACCCATATTATCTTTTGTAGCAAGGCTGTGGAGGATCTTGTGAATACTGGTGTGACATTTATTAAGGATCAGAAGAAGAATATGAGACAAATGGTAAAGGAAAAAGAACATCAAATGAACAGCTTCTATTGCATGGCTGAGAGACAAAAGCAGGAAGCGGTTCAGGAAGTCCTCCAAGAAGCAGAGAAAACTCACCAGGTCGCTCTGGGGAATGTGATGGATGAACTGGTTAACACTCAGGGGGAGCTGTTGTCCACAGAGAAACAACTAGGGACTATGGCAAGTTGGAAAGATTTCCTGGAGGAAGAATTACAAGAAACGAGAGTAGCATTTCAAAAATACATCAATTATACATTTCCGAAGCTTTCACCAGGACATGCAGACTTTATTCTGCCAGAAAGAAAGAAAGCACCTTCCCATCTCATTATTCAGGAGAACCAAAACAACTCTTGATTAGAAGTCTTCAGCTGAACTTTCACCACAAAAGACACTGTTTGAAAGACTAAATAAATTCACTCAAAAACCATTTATTGATCCCTGGTTATGTGTAGAGTACTACTGGGCTGTGTGCTTTTTGATGGGAAACCAAAATATTCAAAAGCACATCCTAGGCTACAGTGAGTTCCAAGTCTAATTGAGGAGAGGTAAGAGTGAGAAGGATAAAAACTGATTAGGAAGCAAAAACGTTTCTTGGAAGAAGTCTAACGAACTTCTGTGTCTGACTTTATTCATGTTTACATCAGATATATAATTATATTAGTATTCGTTGCAGTTGAAAACAAGCAAAGGTACGTGTTTTTAGATCGTTCCAGTTGTGGAGAATTGTGCTGACCTCCAGTATAGAGATTATTATTTGGTGAACAGAAATAGCACTGTAGGAAGAAAAGCAATTTCCCTCAAACTCAATAGGATAAAATTTTAATTCTGGGAACCCTATATAAAATAATTCAGAAAAAACTCACTTATATTTTCCAGCTATGAAAGAAAGATATGCTTTTAGAGGACAGACTTCCTGCCTCAGGGATGAGTAGTCCTCCTGTGTTTGTACCCAAGCCCAAGAGTGCTTTGAACTGATCTCCTTTGGGTCAAAACGCAGAAAACTGTTAAGCACCACAGTGCTCAGGACCAACATGTATTATCATCTACTAAATTAAAATGGAAGACACCCAAGCCATAAAGAAGTCTCCCAACATCTATCTACTCTAATGTAACATCCTTAAATTATTCATCACCAATCTATATTGGTGGCTTTAAAATTAATAAGTTGGAAAACAGTTTCCAGAAAATTAAAAAGGGCTATTCTCTAGAAAGACTTGGGTGAATTTGTTTCCATTGACCAGCCTGGGATTTTTTAATGGGAAAAGCAGCAATTTGTTTACAATTGCGGAATGGGCTACACTCTCCTCTATGTTTAGCTCTGATAGTGCAGGATAACTGCAGTCCATATTAATCGATTGCCTAGGGGCTGGAAGTAATAACATTCATATAGTGCTTTACACTGCATTTTCTTGTACACCCTTCTCACAGCAATCTATGAGATAGGCAGGGTGGTTGTTATCCCATTGTTTATAGATGATAAAATAAAAACGACTTTGTATTAAGGTATTTACATGTGGAAAGCACTTGAAAAACATAATACTTAATCCTCACAACTTTTGAAAGTAATTATTATTGCCCCCAATTTATAGGGAGAGAAACCAAGGCTCAGGGAGGTATAATAACTTTTCCCCAGGACACTCAGCTGGTAACAGACACAGCATTCAAAATACTACAAGGCCCAGGCAGATGGATGCATGAGAGACCTCAGGTTTTTCAGAAATGAATACATAATAGCAACGGCCAACAGTCAGGAGCGCTAGCATGTGCCAGGAACATGTACACAAGTGGACTCATTCATTTTCACAGCCATCTGTGACATTCACACAGACACAGACAGGTTACTTTCTCAAAGTCATACAGCCAATAAGGGACAGAGCCAGTTTCCAATCCAGAGAATGAGTCTTTAGCCTAGATACTTAGTCATTATTTTGCTCAGCCTGAACCTGAAGGCCTTGGTGGCTGGTTTGTTGACTCTGCAAGTGTGTGTATTTGTAGGTTCTATGATGAGGGCTGGAAGTATGTGGTCTGTCCTCCATGTCATGCATTGTTTTTGTCTCTTCTAGAAGTAAAAGGAAGTTACCTAGGATTGTGGTATCTGAGTTACTGGAGTCATCCACCAGGCTCAGATCTGCACACACACCACAGGGGAACAGAAGGCAGCTGTCTTTGGAAAGGTTCACTTCGTGGCCACAGTTAAGCTTGTTTCCTGTAGCATCAGTGGCACACTTAGTAACATGAAAAAAAAGCAGACAACTTATTTTTGGTTTGGGAAAAGGGACCTAGCTTTTCAGTTTTCAGCCAGATTGGAAGAAATTACATGATCCAGGTTTTCAGTGCTTTCCTTGTTCATACTCCAACCCCTGCTCCCACCCCAATCCCAACCAACAGCATCTTTAAATTACTTTAAAAAAGTAATTTGGGTGCTTCTGAGAAGGGCAGAGTTAGAGCTCTTATTACTGTCCTGATCCCAGCTAGACCCCCAGGAAGGATTGCTGCCCACCAGAGGACTCTCTCACCCACTCCCTCAAAGTGCTAATCGCCCCTTATGTCATAGGGGTGACCACAGTGGACCCTATCAAGACAGACTGACCTGACCCCAGACTCCCATTTGCCACTCACTTATAGCCTGCAGTCAGCACTCACCATGGGGGCAGGGTCTTCTTTTGGTTCTATTGTTCTTACTCAGCTTTATCTCTCCCAAGCTGAAGAAACATCAGCTTTGTTCTTACCCAAATCCCTCACCTCGATCACTGCAACCCACAGTGTTTTCTAGCTTGAATGTCTCCCAGATGATATACCCACGAGAATTAAAGTGGATGCATAATTTGCCCTCAGGAGCAGAAAATGCTAATAGTAAACTAAAAAGAGATCTCACTCTGTTTTCCAGTATCCCATACTATGGGGCCTCAGCACTATCTTGTTTCTTTGGCCCTGATCAGGATGACCCTGATAAATAAAAATGAAACAACAGAAAATACAGCAATGACTATTTATTGAGCGTCTGCTACATAGCAGATATCATACTGGGTCCCTTACTAAACCTTGTTATATTGAAATCTCACAGCAACCCTTTAAGTGACCTAATATTGCCCTCACTTTGAAGATGAAGAAACCTCCTCAGAAAAATAAAATCACACATGTTTGAGAAGCCCATGTGTTTTCCACAATTGCAGCACATCATATTAATTTAATCCCTCTAGAAACACTGAGTAGCTGTCAAGGATGCACTACTTCCAAAGTATATTGGAATTGTAGCAGGGCAGTTCTGAGTTATTGTGAAAAATCCTAACTCTTCTGGTGGACATGGGCTGGGAGCCAAGAATGAGGGGAGCAGAATCGGATAACCTTCCCTGAGGGTGCCTGATGGGCTCCCCCATTGCCAAGCCCAGGGATGAATCTATGGAGGGCATACCCTGTAGCTCTCTCCCGCCATTCTAAAGACAGACAAACTCCCCCTCAGGGTTCTGGAGAACTTGAGCTGCCTCTAGCTCAATGGTGAGAATTCCAAAGACAAGTGAAAATTTGAAAGTGAGGTATGTTTTTGAAATCTCAATGGGACCCTCACTCCAAGGTTTTCTAGGGAAACTTGATTGAGACTAAATCAGGCTGATTTCAAAAAGAAAGATTCCCTGAGTGAACCAAATTTTAGCATAAAATTATCATAGACTTGAGAATACTTAATTTTCCTGGTACCATTTACTTTGAGTACAATAACTAGAGAGGCCATCATAGACCTTAGATACTAAACCCCGTACATAAGTTCTTATAATTGTAAACATTTTGGAGATGTACTTTAAAGAGAGCTTAAAGAATGTGTGTTTTCTTAGTTGTGTTAGATGCTATCTGTACAGTAGGAGTGCATGTAATTCTCATGGTTTCTGTATTTAGAAAGCTATGTTAATTCCTGGAGGCCATCTGGGAAATTAATCTGAAGACCCTAAGAGATTACTGCAGCTTAACTTTCTGGAAGTCAGAAAAGAACCTTGTTTTTAAAGAAAATAATCCTGTGGGCTGGGAAATAGATGCATAATATCATTAGGGGAGATCAAGAAGGAATTCCTCCTCTCCCCCATTTTCCACTTCCTATTCAAAAAATAGCTTGAAATATTTCCATTAGTGATACTGTTAGTAATAGGTATCATGCATTGCATTGAGTATTGCTCTCACAATAGCCCAAGGATATAATTACCATTATTGTCCCTATTTAAGAGAAAAAAAGACACAGATAGATTGAATAATTTAACTAGCAATTCAACTGAAATTCCACAGCTAATAATATGTCATATGTATTTTTTATATGCAATTAAGTAACCTTCGTTCAGACAATCAATATATTATACAAACAGAGTAAACAAGTTTGTTCAGTTAGTGGAAAGAGTAAGGAAAATGGAGTGATGAGCATATGCGTAACTCATACTATTTAGCTGAATGTTAAATATTTTTCTGAAATGTTGTCTGTAAAGGAAAATTAGTCATCTAGAATGCTATTTTGCTATTAGACCTATGGAAAATAAATTGAAACTATTGTAAAATGGTGGATTCATTGTATCCTTACAGCAGATTGATTTTCCTAACATTCGATTCTATATTTCTCTGGGTCCTGGTGTCTCAGTTCGGTGGTAATTAATATTTTTAACCTTAGATTAAAGAATTTCATCTCTGTCCAGACATCATTATTTGAATTATAGGTCTCTTTAGAAGATAAACGATTGTGATGGCCTATGTAATAGTGAAGATACCTTTAGTTTTTAAAACCATCATTTCAAACTGGTGATTAAAAAAAAAAATGCAACCTATTTGTACCAGGCCAAAGTTATTGGTCTATCTATCACCCACTATCCTATTTATAAAGCACAGGTGTTAGGCTTTTCAGTAATCATTGGTTCTTTGTTATACAGAAGTCACTCTGATGTTTTCTTTCTCTAACTTTGATTCCATTTGACCTATTTAAAGCTCGTGCATTCTAGCTTTGGGGGCCTTATCTATACTGACACCATGTAGACACTATTTGGCAGAACTTATTGGGTCTTCAGAAAAGTCATGGCGTATTTTGTCTATGTTTTTCAAAGGTCATTTATTTACATAAAGAACAAAGATCAAAACAAAGATCAATCAATGATATATTGCCCGTTTTGTTCAATAACCTTTTGCCATCTCTCAGTGAGCTTCATAATTCCTTGTTCATAGAAGGACCTATCTTTATTTGCAAAAAACTAACAAGGTGCTGATTTACAGCCTCATCTGAATTGAACGTTATACCATGCAAGGAGTTTTGAGGAGAGCAAGACAAGTAGAAGTTTGACGGTGCCAGGTCAGGTGAGTATGGTGAGTGTGGCAACACATCCAATCCAAGCTCTAATAATTTTTGACGAGTGATCAAACTGGTGTGTGGTCTCGCGTTGTTACGATGGAACACAACTCCTTTACAATTAACAAGCTCTGGACGTTTCTGGATGATAGATTCGTTCAAACTGTCCAATTGCCGACAGTACACATTTGAATTGATTATTTGGTTCCTTGGTAGGAGCTTGAAAAACATGACACCTTTAAAATCCGCCACACTGAGAGCATAACCTTCCTCTGATGAATGTTTGCTTTCGATGTCGTTTGAGGTGAATCATTATGTCGGGACCAAGACGGTTTGTGCACCACATTGTTGTAAACAATCCACTTCTCATCACCAGTTATCAGTCGCTTTAAAAAAGGATCATTTTCTTCACGTTTAAGGAACATATTGCAGATGTTTATATACGCCATCAAATGAACTTTTTTGAGTTCATGTGAAACCCAAATATCGAGCTTGCTTCCCAGCTTC